TCAGAAACTATGTAAAGATTTTATCAGGAATGCTAATTTCTTCTAAGGATAATACTGGGAAAAATATTTTGGTCTATTTAAGTTTGGGACTATTTTTCTTTTTACTTTCAGACACTTCCTGACAATTGTACTATGATTTTGAAAGATGTTAACATTAGGAAAAGCAGAGTCCAGGGATATGAGAGAAATCTCTGTACTACTTTTGCAATTCTCCGTTAGTCTAAAATTAGTTCAAATTTAAAAGTTTTAAATGAAGTTTTTGTGTACTCCCAAGTTTATACATAGTAACTACTACATGCAAATCACAGAAAAAGTGAGAAGTAAATGAAAGCATAATTTTCATATAATTTCTCACACATAGTGAGTGCACAATAAATGTAAATAAATATATTACTAAAGTTGAGTATGTATAATTGTTACACAGTTTATTTTTGGTTTAATTTTAAGTCTTTCTTTGATTATTTTATATTTTGACTTTTAGTATAGAAAATGTGTAGTTTCCTTGTATGTTTTAGAATTGATTAATTTGAGAGCAAATGTTTTATCATAACACGTCTCATGATTGAACAAAATTCTGCCTATTAAAACTTTCCTAGAATGGCTATAGATATATCAAATATACCTAAAGTATAGATATTTTTAGTACTGATCCTTTTTTTTCTTTTTAAAACTTTATTTCAGTATAACTATGCTTACAGAAATACACTTATATTGGTTAATAGAATGCAATTTAAGTTTAACTTATCCTACATAATTTGGACCAATAACTTGGTACATGGTTTAAGATTTTAACAAAGTATTTGCAATCTGGTTTATCCTTATCTACTACAAATTATAAAAGATCCTCCATCAAACGCTGTTAAAGAAGGCAGCAAGAACTTTGAGAAATTTACCTTTGGTTTGCCTCAGAATAATAACACATATTGCACCGCATACATTTATAAAATTGCTGCACCAAAACATTGTTATAATGTTTCAATTCCAGTTTAAAAAGTTCAATAACTAATGGATGTGGAAGGGACTGGGAGGGAACCTATGTACACATGTGTGAAACTGTAAAAGCTATCTGATTTAGTTAATATTGCATATAAACTGTACATCTACACGAACCAAGAACCAGACAGTTTCTTCAATCCAAATTAACACTATCAGTTCACTTCATCTGTTGAGGTCAATCAGGGAACTGGGAATACTAGCTGCAAGTTTTTCTGACTTATGCAAAAATTAAGTTTCTTCCCCAGCTTTTCAGTCCAGAAGTGACAGGATACTACAGGCAAGGTAATTCCTTTCATTGTCAACATTCATAGGGTGACATACAATGAGTTCTACTTGCGTTTCAATTTGTATCAGCTCCCACATGCAAAGTCACATGACTTTAGAAGTGACTCTAAAAAAATAAAATGGCTCTTAGAGGACTAGAGCAAAACATCCAGCCATAGTTGTAAGCCTTATAAAAAAAAGTGCAGCCCCTTGTGAATTACACAATAAAAAAGCCCCCATATAAGAAGACCTCTGAAGAAGAGAAAAATATATAACTTAAAATATCTTGAAAATCAGTGTGAATATGAGTTCAAAAGATAGTTAAGAGATTCATTTTCATAAGAATACCTAAGATTACACTTATAATGTGTTCTAGTATTGAAGTGTATCACTAGTTACTAAACATTAATTTACAAATAACACATTCAGTCTTTGTTCTTTTATCAAAAGAGAAAATTCTAGCTTAAATTCTATTCAGTGTGGGGGAAGGGGCAAGAAAGTAAAAAAGATTCAAATGGTTCCATGCAAGTACCACATTTTTCAAATGGAAGAACTTCTAACTGGACCAGAAGTTAATACTGCTAATGTACTTTTCATTGAAACAATTTTTAATAAGTATAAATAAATGACATTAAGGTTCAGAACCTAATATACGCCTGGCAGTCAAGTCCTTTTCTTATTTATTCAACAAAAGTGTTGTGAGGATAATTAAAACAAGTACTCAATATCCAAAGTTTTAAACACAAACTTTCCTAAAAACAGAGTCATTCATAACAAGACATGCTCCTAGTGATATTTTGCAGTCAATCCTAAAACACGTTTTGATTTATAGCTCATGATACTTAGTGAGGAACGATCTTGATAATATTTATAGCATTTTTACTTAATTATATCTTTTAATCAAAACAAATTTGAAGAAGTGATTTTAATAGAACCTGATATTACGTGGAAGTGATGAGTTACTAACATGTAGAAATGAATGAAGTTTTTTTCATGATGACTGCTTCTATAAGGAAATGACTTGTAATTAATGAATGTTTACTATGGTAAACTGAATTTAATCTAGATGATGTCTCAGTATTGCTTTCTCATAATTAATTTTGCCCAAAACAATTAGTCCTTTCCATTCCTCGTCTCAGTTCTGTAGTCTCCAGACACTTCATTTATTCCATGACTTAGCATTTTTTGCTTGTTTAGATATTCTGTAAAAGTTTTTCTGTTATTCACCATGCACATCTCCATTATTTGCCAAGCATGCTTTCAGTATGTCATATTCTAGCTGAATTTTGTCCCTTTATGAATGCCTTCTACATTCTGCAAGTCTGCTTTGTTTCACAAAACAAATTTTACAGTTTTAATTATTTTATTTCTTACATTCATCATTCAAATTACTCTGATGCAAAATTTAACCTATTCCTTTTTAACTCATGATTGTTTTTTAAATTTGTATATGAATAGATAAATATTCTTTTTTTCTAAATATTCATAAATTCCCTGTGGGAGTATTATGGGCTGAGATTTTTATGCATTATTTTTTTCTTTATTTTAAAAAATATATTAGATGATTTTATGGAGATTTATAAATATATTTTTCATTTTGCTGATGTTTGATGTTATCTTTTTAATTATTAGAAATTAGATATATTAATATATTATGCAGCAGGTTCAGTGCTAAGTAATCTATATATATTATTTTAATATATTAAAATAACTCTATAAAAATTTATGTCATTAAACCCACCCTTCAGTTGATGAAACTTAGGAACAGATATTCTAAGTAAATTTCCCAGGCTGGTTTTATAGCTAACAAATGAAATACTTTAAATTATGATTCCCTAGCCACAAATCTTGTATTCCTTAAATATAGATTCATGCATTTTACTATATTATTAATGGACAGCAGGTTCATTTTGTTCAAGGACTGATGATGCTTTTCTTCAGTACATTTAAAAGAGATTTTTTTAGTTTTGGAAAACAGATGTGCCAAAGGCTGATAATGTCCAATCTGAAGCCTTCAAGGTCAGTGTTTTAGATCTGTGGCCTGGGGAAAAGTATGAAGTTAAAATAAATAAACTAAACACCCCTTAGAGGTTTGAATATGTAGATTCAAATATATGCATCACACCTATGTGTAACCTCTGCCCATTTGGTCCTCCAGTCCCACCATTGTTTGATATCTAAACCTAAGTGGCATGGGAGGAGGGTACAGTGTGAAAAGTTATAATTATCCCAATATCTTTATTTTCCTGACCATCACACAGCCACCTAATAGATGCTTCCAGAGAATGTGAGAAGAGATCGGGACGTTGTCAGTTTTGTCCATAGTATGTAGTCAGTGTCTTCCTTCCAGTCCAGAGACTCACATGTACTAGGGCGGTATGGCTCTTTCTCAATCCTGTTTCAAGTGTGCATTTGTAGAATTATAAACGATGATATCTTTATTTGAAAAAAGAACTTCCCCAGTTTGTTTATCTATTTGTCATTTAACTTTTTTGACCCTTTTAGGGCTATTTTAATGAGAAATAGAGAGGCAATCACAGACAGAAAAACTTAGTTAACTTCTGGAAGCCCTAGCTTGTGTTCACTGATGCAAATATAGTATTTGGACATCAAAAAACCTCTGAAGCCAGTATTTTCTCAACCAGATATTAATTCAAAAAATGTTTACTTTTCCTTCATGTTTTTGGACCCTTTGCTTTCAGATAAAATATATTCAAATACTCTATACAAACACATACATATCTAAAATTAAGAGATATCCAGAATATTCTGATAGTTTGAGAAAGATCATATACATACACTTTCTAAAATAATTTAATAGAAAAATTACATCGACTTTAAAAACATAATTTGATGAAAGTAGCATGTTTCTTTTATATTTGTCAAAATTGTTAAAGAAATGACTTAATTTAACTTGAAAATTTATTCACAGATATAATTACCTATCTGTCTTAACAATGTTTGGAATTCAAAGTCCTATGCCCATTAACTGCATATTCTCTCTATTCTCAAAGCATATCATGTATTTAAAATTATACACACCCCCATGAGTATATGCATGTGTATATATGTATATATATAAATCAACCTTGTTTTCAGATTTAAGATATGGTGGTTGTTTTCCTAGAGCTAGCATTCCCTTCTACTATGCCTCAGCTCATTTTTTATTCTACTTTTAAATGTCTTCAGAGATTTTTCATTAAAAAAAAAAATCTCTGCTCTGCTCTTTACAGAGTTTCTTGGGCTTTCTGATTGTTGCTATTCCAGTCATCAGTCCAGGTTTCTTTCCCAAAATTTCCTTTTTTCCTTTGCCTGATACCCTCATGCTTAGCTATTTGCTGCTGCTTCACCACCACCCATTTTCTAATCATCACTGTTTCCCTTCATCCCAGGCTCCTCCTTCTTGCTGCTGCTATTCCAAACTAGCTTCATCCTTTGCTTTCATGCCCCTATTGATGCTTCTTTTCATAAAATACTTTCCTGTTTTCTTTTGTCTATTTTATTTTTGTAGATTCAATTAAAGTCTATCTTTTGCGTAAAGCCTTGCCAAAGAACACAAATGCTCATTTTCTTCCAGATTCCTAAACTCCTTATAGTCAATAAAAAAGGATAAAGTACTTACCTAATTATTTATCCTTCTATATTGTTTATGCTGAAATTTCAGAAGCTCAGTTGTTCAAACTACAATTTTTCTCCTACAACACTTTTTCACAATGGTAGGAGAGTTGCATTATGAGAACTCTTACTAGAAAGAGTTATTAAAAAAATATGCGACCACACTAGTGGACTCCATCTTGGTTTGATTCACTGTACTAATTTGACTTAGCAGCCCTAAAGTGTACAGAAAGAGAAAAAACTCCTTGAATTACTTCATAGATCAGCAATCAGCTGAAACAGTACTCCCTGGAAGCCAACCAATCCTCAGTTGTCAAAGACAGACTTGACTCACAGAACAATCACTTTTTCTGATAAAATATTTTGGGCTTTCCCTTAATAAGACCTCCCTATGCCTGTTTGGAGTTATTGGCCTTCACAGAGAGTGCTCTTCCTTATTATGTATATAAGTTGATAAAATATACTTTTAAAAATGTAAAAGTATGATTCTACTGCAGATATAAAATTAACGTATGTCAAATATTGTATACAAACTTATTGAAGGAACCAATTTTCATTCAAATAAAAATTTGGCATATAAAATATATGCTTGTACACCTTGGAGATGTTACAGGCTACATTCCAGACCACCACGATAAAGTGAATATAGTAATAAGGTGATTGCTTCATTCACAAAAACCATTTTTCTTTGGTTTTCCAATGCATATAAAAGTTATGTTTACAATATACTGTAGTCTATTAAGTGTGCAATAGCATTTTGTCTAAAAATACGTACATAACTAAACTAAAAACAGTACTTTGTTGCTAAAAAACTTATGATCATCAGAGCCTTCAGAGAGTTGTGATCTTTTTGCTGGAGAAGGATCTTGCCTCTATGTTGATGGCTGCTAACTGCTAACTATGTTGGTGGTTGCTGAAGGTTGGGTGGCTGTGGCAAATTTTTAAAATATGACAGCAGTGAAGTTTCTGCCCCAACAATTGACTCTTTATTCATGAAAAATTTCTCTGTAGCATACGATGTTCTTCAATAACATTTCACCCACAATACAACATCTTTCAAAATTAGAGTCAATCCTCTCAAATCCGGTTACTGCCTTATAAACAAAATTGATTAAATATTCTAAACCTTTTGTTGCCATTCCAACAACACTGACAGCAACTTCACCAGGTTGTGAATGTTTTTGAAATGACAACAACAATTTGGAATATTGAATAACTAGATTGTGCCTCAAGAAACCACTTTCATGCCTCATCCATAAGAAAAAAACTCCTCATCAATTAAAAATTTATCATCAGATTGCAGCAAATTATTCACATCTTTAGGCTCCACTTCTAATTCTATTCCATTGCTCTTTCTACCACATCTGCAGTTATGTCCTCCACTGAAGTTTTAAATCCCTAAAAAATCATCCATGAGATTTGGAATCAGTGTCATCCAAACTTTTGTTAATGTTGACGTTTTGACCTTGTCCTGTAAATCATGAATGTTCTTAATTGCATCTAGAATAATATATCACTTCCAGAAAGTTTTTAATGTACTTTTCCCAGATTTATTAAAAGTATCACTATTTATTGCAGCAATAACTGTATGAAGTGTATTTCATAGATAATAAGACTTGAAAGTCAAAATTACTCCTTGATCCATTGGCTGAAGAATGGATATTTTGTTAGCAAGCATGAACACAACATTAATCTCCTTGTACATCTCTATTAAAGCTCTTAGGTGACCAGGTGCATTGTCAATGAGCAGTAATGCTTTGAAAGAAATCTCTTTTTCTGAGCATTGGGTCTCAACAGTAGGCATAAAATACTCTGTAAACCATATAATAAACTAATGTACTGTCATCCAGACTTTGCTGTTTAATTTATAGGCACAGAAAGAGTAAATTTAGCATAATTCTTATGGCTTCTATGCTTTTCAGAATGGTCAACAAGCATTCATTACAACTTAAAGTCATCAGCTGCATTTTCTCCTAAAAAAAAAGAGTCAGCCAGCCCTTTGAAGTTGTGAAGCCAGGCACTGATTTCTCTTCTACTTTGAAAGTCCTAGATGGCATATTTGTTTTCAATAGAAAGCTGTTTCATCTACATTGAAAATCTGTTGTTTTGTGTAGACACCTTCATTAACGACCTCAACTAGATCTTCTGGATCACTTGCTTCTACATCAGTACTTGCTGTTTTGTCTTGAACTTTTTATGTTACGGAGATGGCTTCTTTCCTTAAACCTCATGAACCGACGTGTGTTAACTTCACATTTTTCTTCTGCAATTTCCCCACCTCTCTCAGCGTTCATAGAATTGAAGAGAGGTAATTCCTTGTTCTGTATTAGGCTTACAAGAATATTGTTGCTGATTTGATCTTTTATCCAGACCACTAAACTTTCTCCATATCAGCAATAAGGGTGTTTGCTTTCTTATCATTTGTGTGTTCACCGGAGTAGTACTTTTAATCTCCTTCAAGAATTTTAACTTTGTATTAAAAAAGTGGCTGTTTGGTGCAAGAGGCCCGGCTTTTAGTCGCTTAGCTCTTGACATTCCTTCCTCATTAAGCTTAATCATTTCTAGCTATAGATTTAACATGAGAGACATGAGACTCTTCCTTTCACTTGAACACTTAGAAGTCACCGCAGAACTATTAATTTGTCTTTTTCAATATCACTGTGTCTCAGAGAATATGGAGATCAGAGACAGAGAGACAGAGAAAGGCAGAGAGAAGAACTGCTGGTTGGTGGAGCAGTCAGAATGCTTACACAACACATGTCAATTAAGTTTGCCATCTTATGAGCACAGCCCACAGAGCTCCAAAAAAATTACAATAATAACATCAAAGACCACTGATCATAGATCATGATAACAAATATAAAAATAATGAAAAGTTTGAAATATTTTGAGAATTACTAAAATGTAATAGAGAGATGAAGTGAGCATGTGCTATTGGAAAAATGGTGCCACTAGACTTGCTTAACACAGGTTGCCTGAAATTTTCAATTTGTAAAAAATACATCAGTGAAGCACAGTAAAATGAGGTATGCCTGTATTATATATATACATATTATCTAATGGAAATTACATACTTGTATTAATATGGACGAGAAACATTTGCATTCCTATCAGTTTTCTACAACAAATTAAGTTGTTTTTAATCACTCAGGAATGTAAAATAGCCTTGTCAAAATAATGAAAGATACACATTCTTTTTCTCACTTTTATTTTAGACTTGGGAGTACATGTGATGGTTTGTGACACAGGTAAACACAAGTCATGGAGTTTGATTGTACATATTATTTCATCACCCAGGTATTAAGCCCATTAGCAAATAGTTATCTTTTCTGCTGCTCTCCCCCCTCCCATCATTCACTCTCATGTAGACCCCATTGTCTGTCATTTACTTCTTTGTGTTTATAAGTGCTTATCAATTAGGTCCCTCTTCTGAGTACCTGGGTTTTCTGTTTCTACATTAGTTTGCTAAGGATAGTAGCCGGCAGTTGGATCCATATTCCTAGGAAAGATGTGATCTCATTTTTTTTGTAGCTGCACTATATTCCATGTTATATATGGACCACATTTTCTTTATGAAATCTGTTATTGATGGGTATTTAGGTTGATTTCATGTCTTTGGTATTGTGAATTGTGCTTCAGTGAACATTCACATTCATGTGTCTTTGTGGTAGAATGATTTATATTCCTCTGGGTATATACTCAGTAATGGGATTCATGGGTTGAAGGGTAATTCTGCTTTTAGCTCTTTGAAGAATCTCCATACTATTTTTAACAATGGTTGAACAAATTTACACTCCTACCAACAGTGCATATGGGTTCCCTTTTCTCCACAACCTTGCCAGCATCTGCTATTTTTTGACTTTTTACTAATAGCCATTCTGACTAGTATGACATAGTATCTCGTTGTGTTTTGGAGTTATATTTTTCTAATGATCAGTGATATTGAGCTTTTTTGTTCATATGATTCTTGGCCACATGTATGTTGTCTTTTGAGAAGTGTCTATGTCCTTTGCCCACTTTTTAATGGGTTTTTTTTCTCATAAATTTGTTGAAGTTCCTTATTGATGATGGATACTAGACCTCCATCAGATGCATGGTTTGCAAAAATTTTCTCCCATCATCTAGGTTGTCTGGTTTTTGTATTGATAGTTTATTTTGCTGTACAGAAGCTCTAAGTTTAATTAGATATCACTTGTCGATTTTTGCTTTTGTCATTATTGATTTTGGCATCTTCATCGTGAAATCTTCGCCTGTTCCTATATCCGGAATGGTATTCCTTAGATTGTTTTTCAGGATTTTTATAGATTTAGGTTTTACATTTAAGTTTTTAATCTATTTTGAGTTAATTTTTATGTATGGTTTAAGGAAAGTGTCCAGCTTCAATCTTCTGCATATGTCTAGCCAGTTATCCCAGCATAATTTATTGAATAGAGAGTTTTTTCTCCATGGCTTGTTTTTGTCAGCTTGATGGTCTCAAATGTGCACCTTATTTCTGGTCTCTCTATTCTGTTCCATTGGTCTTTGTGCTTGGTTTTGTACCATGTTGTTTTTGATTACTTTAGCTTTGTAGTGTAGTTTGAAGTTAAGTAAGGTTATACTTCCCACTTTGTTCATTTTGCTTAGGTTTGCTTTGGGTATTTGGGCTCTTTGTTGGTCCCATATGAATTTTAAAATAGTTTTTTTCCAGCTCTGTGAAGAATGTCATTAATAGTTTGATAGGCATAGCATTGAATTTGTAAGCTGCTTTGGCCAGTATAGCCATTTTAATGACAGTTGATTCTTCCTGTTCATAAGCATGGGATGTTTTCCATTTGTCTGTGTCTTTTCCAATTTCTTTGAGCAGTGTTTGGTATTCTCATTGTAGCAATCTTTCACCTCCCTGGTTAGCTGTATTTCCAGGTATTTTATTCTTTTTGTGGCAATTGCGAATGGGATTGCCTTTCTGATTTGGCTCTTGGTTTGGCTGTTGTTGTGTATAGGAATGCTAGTCATTTTTGTACATTGATTTTGTATCCTGCAATTTTGAAGTTATTTATCAGCTGAAGGAGCTTTTGGGCCAACATTATGGTGTTTTCTCTATGTAGAATCCTGTCATCTGCAAACAGAGAAAGTTTTACTTTTTCTCTTCCTATTTGGATGCCATTTATTTCTTTCTCTTGCCTGATTGCTCTGGCTAGGATTTCGATACCATGTTGAATAGAAGTTGTGAGAGAGGGCATTCTTGTCTTGTGCCAGTTTTCAAGTGGAATGCTTCCAGGTTTTGCTCACTCAATATAATGTTGGCTGTGGTTTTGTCATGGAAGGCTCTTATTATTTTGAGGTGTAGTCCTTGAATACCTACTGTATTGAGAGCCTTTAACGTGAAACGGTGTTGAAATTTATCAAAATTTACATTATTATTGAATCAGATTATTTGTAGAAGTATCTACAATACATGGCCTAACAATCCATTGTAAGAATAGTCATTGTTTTTGTTTATTTCTTGACAGAGTATATTGAGGGAGTTTTCCGCCTTGTAAATTAGTAGTTTCTGAGTTATTGTTTTATTGTTATTAAGCACCTATCAGGTTCTAGAAGTAATACGCATTAGAGTTGCAAAGATTTAAACAAAAGAGAGAGGGAAAGAGACAAATTCCTGCCTCACAAGCATCTCACAGCCAGACACAGTAAAATCATGTAAAATAAATTATAAAACAATATGACAAATATGAGATAAAAGTATAAGTATAAAGTGTACCATTCACTTTTGCTTCCAAGAGTGCCAAAAAACTTTGTAAGTTTTTAGATTAATAAAGCATTTTAAAAAAATAAATTTATTTAAGTAAACAAAGTGTGAGTCTACTTAAAATTAAGGAAAGAGGACAACTGAAAATTTAGAAACACTGTAAAGAGCAAAAGCAAATATAAAAGTCCATGCTTTAATACACAGCAATTAACTTAAGATTAATCCATTGGAATTCCCTCAGACTTGAGATGGCCTTCTTCAATCTTCTTTCTTGAGTGTAAATCTTAATGTGCTATTTAAGGTCTCTAAACTCTGCACCTGTTACTTTCTTTCTAGTACTACTTTTACTGCAATACATTTTCAAGACTCAAAGCATTGGCTTTGTTCACCATCCTCTCTGTATTATTGCCATGGCAAACTTATTATTCTTAAATCTGTGTTTGCTGATCTTTGGGGGAAAAATAAATGTTATGTTTATTTTAGAAATGTGCCGAAATATGTCTGACATTCCTACATACTTTTTTGTTTTCTTTTTTTCAGTTTCATGAAGAACAACCTTAAAGATGCTATCTCTTCAGGGCCCAGCACTTCCTTTAGTTTGGCTCCTTTCAACTCAGAGCCAACAACAACAACAGAAACCCAAAAACAAAGCAAAACAACTGTAAGTTGTGTTTTCTTTTGTTTTGTGTATATTTTATCTACATTTCTAATATTATCTTCTGGTTATGTAACAATGTTAATTTACATTGTCATGATGATTAATTGTTACTTGTCATTTTTTTTCAGTTTCCTATTCTGTCCCTATTTTCTGTAGATTCGTTATTAAAACTTAAGATTAAAATTGGAAGAGGCTCATAGGAAAGAATGAGTTTTGTTTGCAAGTGCTGGTTGTCCTCATACTCTGTTTCGAGATTTTGAAGGAAGTTCAAGAATAGTCAATTAATAGCTTTATTTTGAAAATATAGTTGAGTTTTAATTTATAATAACTTCAGGCTGACTCCTCTTTCAAAGAAACTTTTGTGTTTCTTTCTCTAGCCTTGCTTTACTATAAAATAAAACAAATATTTTTTCATGATTGGCCAAGTCATGGTGTCGTAGAATCAGAGGGTTTTGTTTATGCTGTTTTCTGTTTATTCTGTTTTGTTCTAATGACAATTGGTGTGGAACAGTAATGATGTGAAGAACACTGGTCTAGTGCTTACTTTTATCCAATACTCTTTCATATGAGCCTAATAAAACTAATCAGTTTTCAAACCATTATTACTTTTGGAATTGCTCCCAGTTGAGAAAAAATAACAATTTTCTTATTTCATCTTCTCAAGAGTCATTCTTTCTTTATCATTACCCTCATTTTTGCGATAAAATTAATTTTTTTCTTTCATAGTAACAAAATTTATGGCATCAGTTTATTAAAAGGTGTGAAGAAGTCAGCTACATAACCAGTGCTGACAGCTATAATTCATTTCCTCAGCAATCAATATGCTCTAAAATGAAATCATTTATAAAAGCATCTC